GTACTCAGCATAATAGCTTCTCCACCACTCCTCGAAGGATGGTGAGCAAAGGAAATTAAGCTGGTAGTCAAACAACGAGAGGATTGTTCGACCAGCGTATCTTCCGATATGCTTGATGGCAGCTTCTTCTGTATAGTCGTTGCAGAAGTACAACATTGACTTCTCTCTTTGAAAAATCGGAGAAGGTAGGGTTTGGATAATACCAAACTGGCGAGATACCAGATTTGGTTGATAGGCAAGCAGACTCAAATGAGTCTTAGAACTCTTAAATCGAAGAGGCATGATCCTCGGTGTAAGGAACGCCTCCCACAGTATTGTGTGTTCATCAACATTGGGACCACTCGACTCCTTTGGATGTGGCCTTGTGAACCATGCTGGCCCCACACGCCGTTGAGCAAATGGAGCCATAGTTGAAACAAATTCCTTCCTTCGAGCAAACATGAGAACGAAGTTGGTGAAGGTTTGTTGAAACTCCAGGCCATCTTCCACAGGTGTCAGCAGAGCCAGCCTGATTCCTTCGATGCGTCTATTCGCTATCGCCGGAGCCTGTTCATTTATCTGAACCTTTTTAGGCAAGAAAGATTCGAAAGTGGCGTTGAGCCACAGTTGAAGTAGCCAAAAAGGCCCAGCGAGTAGCAAACTGGCCCTGTCCTCGATATGTTTCAGAAGAGTAGCCCCATTGCTGATCGAGTCATAGAGACTAGCCAGAATCAGTTCTGCCAAACAGATGTTTTGGCGGTGATGCAGTTGGGTAGCAAGAGTGACCATCTTTTTGGTCACTTGTAGAGACTTCGAGCAAAACACAAAGCGAGTTAGCCATAAGGCTAGAAACGCTATGTGTTCGACATCCGACACAGTATCTGTCGACCTGTCGTGATAATGGTTGATGAAAGTGGTGTATGTTGGCTTGGTCTCAGAGAAGCCAATTTGGTCCTCCGACATCTCCTCCGGATCGAAGTAATCTCCGGTTGGTCGAAGGCCAGTAATAGCGGCCACGTCGAAGAGTGTGGGGGTTAGCATCCCACATGGAAGATGAAAAGTAAAATGGGAGTAATCCCAGAACAACAGTGAAGCTATCAGCATCTCTGGGGAGTAGTTCAAACCCGTCTTCGACAGCATCACTAAGTCGAAGATTCCCATATCCTTCCAGATCGAGGTTTGATGTTTCTCCAACTTTGTTAGCCAAGCAACATAATCAGAGGTTAGATTAGGGCAAGACCTGAAGACCCTAACCCCTCTGTTGAAGAAGCGGAGGTCGATTTTTTGGCGCATGCTACTGGCTTGAGTTTCTCGACGATTGGGAAATAGCTCTTGATCTTCAGAGCTTCAGAGATGCTTGGATTCATGGGGCCAGACATTGCGAAGATCTGGTTGGAGTATCCAACCGGGATCATCAAGTGGCGCGAGTAAGCATCGCGAACGGAGATGTCAGAAGGTTCAGGAACCCTTCATTTGCCTGTGGAGTTTACTACCGGAGCAGTGACGAAGACCTTGGGTTTAACATGTTCAGTTGGTGCGTTAGCACTGGGAGCAGTAGAAGCAGAGGCCATTGTTGAGGTTGAAGATGAAGTGAAAGAGGAAGAGTTTTCTGCAAAGAGAGCAAGCTTGTACGAAAACAAGGAAGTTTGAAGGCTAGTTGGCGTAAAAAGTCCCACAATGGGATATTCACTGCTATTTATAGTAGTGGGAAAAATCCCCAATAACGAGGACATTAAATGCCATTTAATGCTGCAGGAATTAGTGGGACGCGTGGCAGCCCCTTGTTGTTTTGGCCGTTTCTGCAGAAGTAGAGAGACGCAGCGTGCGTCCTCGTTTTTGAGAATTGTCATAATGACAAATTCTGAAGTGACGTTTGGTACTGCACGCCGTACTGAAAGTGACGTCCTAGGATCAAATCAATGATGGTTTTCTTGGGATTGCTAATAGTTGGTAAAAAGCAACAAAAAGTGCACAAGTTAACTTGTGACTAAGCGTGGAAAGACAGGTGTCGAATGGCGTTTCAAAGAATGCCTTTTTCTTTCAGAGTCGAAATAAGGCATTCTTGGGGGGCAATTTGTTGGCTCCTAAATTCGACACCTTTGTTTTGACTGATGTCAGCCATTAAAAGATGAAAGATGTTTTCGACTGGCTAAGTTTGTCGAAATGCCTGTCGAAAGATGGTAAAATACTTAGAAGATCTCTTCCAAGGGAGAAGGCTGATTGCCTTCGACGTCGAAGGAGTTTCTCGTCGAAGATGTCTCTTGACGAACGTGTTCGATGGTCCAAAATGGAGCAGTTTGAAATTCAAGCTTTTTGGAGGGAAAACGGTTTCCAGCAGTTACTACGTGCAAACGTGCAAGGATCTGGAGCGTCAAGCATGGAGAACGTGCCAAGTGGATTGATCTCGAAGCAGTGTAACTGCCCGACGGTTACTTGGGATGTTTTAGTATAAATAGGAGTAGACATGTAGTTTCTCGCGTGTGTTCACAATTCTATACATAGTCACTCATTTAGATTCGAGTACCCAGCGTGTGAGAAAGAATTGTTGAGAAATGTATGTGTGAAACACCAATTTTATCAATTAAAGTCATTTACTTTCCCAGAATTTTACTTGCTTTTCTCTTTACATTTCCTGTCGAACCTTTACTTTAAAGCCTTGTTTATTTTACCAAGTCTTTCCTTTATGCAATTTACTTGAAACCTTTTATTTAAAGCCTTATCCAACTTAATCAAACTTCAAAATCAACCTATGTCCATAGGATCAATCTGATCGATCCTGCGAGTAACCAAATAAGTAACCATTTGGAGGATCAGCGGTTGTTTACCAAAACCCAAGGTAAACACGTCCAAACGTTTTCTTCTGGATAAGGGTTGGTTGCTGTTGGTTATCTTACCACTTCTCAGGTTCATAAAACAGCAAACTTCTTAGGTTCCTACGTTTTTGGGATGGCTACGTCTCGACAATCCTTAATTCTGATATCCAACTATTGGTCCCACCGGGTGTGCCAATTTGTTTCCAGTGATTTCTGGTAAACAACCGTTAGTCTTCCAAACTATCGAATAATCTTTGTTAACGCTATTCAATCTCTCTGGTAACTCACAGGATCGACTAGATTGATCCTAGGACTCCTTGGATATTAAGGTTACTCTCACAATCGAACAATTATTCATGGTTGCTATTGTACAAGTGTTTGGTTTATTTCGATCCCTCTCTCTAAGAGTTTAAAATGTGGTCAAAATGTATATGAAAACTAAGTTATACGAATAAATGCTAATTGTAATGCTGATTGAAGAGACATATAAAACTGTATGAAAAATGAAGTAAATGGTTTCGATTTATAAAACATTTAACATAAAAGGTTTCTGGAATGTAGAAGTTAAAAATGTGAAGAAAGCGTTTAATGCAAGAAATCTATAAATGATTTTAAGTAAAAGTATGCGCTTGAAAAACAATGCTTGAAAGTAAAGGTATTGAAAGTGTAACAGTTCTCTGAAATATAAAGTGCTCGAAATATAACGAAAGCAGTAAAACGTAAAACTTTGAGGAAAAGACTTTGAAATGAAAAGACAGTAAATAAAGAAACTTGCAAATGTTATTCGACAAAAAGAAAAGAGGAAAGTGCTGGAAATGGTAAAAAGGCTTTCATTAAGTTAGAAATACATGGTGCTATCATACATACATTTCTCTTGCATTCGTTTCCCTTGCCATGTGGTAGTTTGAATGTTATTGAGTATTTTGTATAACAGATATGACACACTGAAATCCTAATACTAAGACTTCTATTTATACTAATTCGACCCTAACGGTCTCGCTATAGGATCATGCCACGTTTCGAACATGCAAGACAATGCTTCTTTCATCTTTCCACGTGTCCCCAAATGCTCCAACACATAACTTTCAAACTTTGAAAGTCCCGCTTCCATTTGAATTTTAAATGCTTTGGTGTTTCTCCCGTTTCGAACGCTCTTCCCAAACCTAGCCTCGCTGTTGTTTCGAGACCCCTTTGGATATATTCCCATAATCACCGTTCGAAGCTTCAAGCTTTGACACACTCATTCGAAACACTGCTTCTGCAACTTCGAAATATGGTGTTTAATTCCATTTCGATCAGAACTTTTAACTCTTTTGAATTCTAAATAACATTATCAAAATCTTCAGCCAACACCTTGCTTATGTACATATTTACTATGTCTATTCCTTATGTCTTATATAATGATTATGATTTACTCACACTTTCTGTTTAAATGTTGCCTCCACGTGGGTAACGTGTAGGTGATCGAGAATTGTCCGTAGAAGCATTGTAGGATAGCTTCAGAGTGCGTTTATTCATTTTTGTTGAATAAAACAAGTTTTGCTATGATATGTAACATTGGGGTTGGGGTCGAATGATTGGAAATTATGTTCTTTATTTTGTTTAAGATGTTAAGTCACCTACGTGGTACTCGAGATGTTTGATATACGAGTGTGAACTATGAAGCATGGCTAGACTTTATGAAGTATTATGATGAGGTGTTTTTGAACTATGATTTCCGCTGCGAAGTTTTAAAGTATTAAATTATTACTACTAATGACATATTCATCTTAAATGATTCTGAAAACCCGTATCACAGAACATAATATATTGTTATGATATTTTCATAAAGACGTGACACCCTATTTAGTGATATAGTCTAAATTATTTATTAAAATAATTACAAATATTATTTAGAATTTAGAAGGGTGTTAGAGAACCAATCTTGCTATGCCTCAGGTGAATAATAAACATAGCAAACAAAGTTTTAGTGAGATCGAGTTGGAGAGAAAGTTATTTTTGTAATATTTATGAAATGGTAAAGGAAAAAAGCGAGAGTTGGATGGGCCAAAGTAGGAGGAGGGTCCATGTTGGTGTATAATAAAGTGAGAAATGAATCCATTCGAGGATAGTTTGAGGTTTAATATCCGATTAACGATCTTGCTTCCGCCGAGTGATTGAGAGAAACCCCAGTCATCTCGTCGTCTTGTTCGACTACCAATAAAGAAAATGGCCCAAGAGTCATTGACAGAAACCCCAGCTACTATTCAATCGGACCCAGATCCACCACCTCTTTCAAGGACCCGCCTCAACGCTGAGGCACCAGCCTTTGTGCCCACTCCACGCCCATCAGGTATGCTACATGTTTACCCACACGTACCTGTCCGCTATCGTCACCACCGCCCTAATCAATATCAACTTGACCCTTCTTCTTCTTCTTCTTCCAAAATCAACGAAGCTGATCAGAAAATTCTCAATCAGGTCAGCAGCTCCAATAACCTTTTTGGGCCATTATATAATTTACAAAAACGAACAACATATTAAATATAATAACTGTAGGTGGAGTATTATTTCAGTGATTTAAACTTAGCTACTACCGATCATTTGATGAGGTTCATCAACAAAGATCCTCATGGTTTTGGTAAGATGATTTTAACTTTGTGAAATCCAACACTCTATTTTCCTTTCAGACTTTATATTGCCTCCTATTTTTTTCTTTTTTCTATAGTGCCAATATCTGTTGTTGCTTCTTTCAAGAAGATTAAGTCCCTCATAACCAGCCACTCCCAACTTGCAAATGTTTTGAACAACTCATCAAAACTTGTAAGTTTCTCTACTCATCAACTTGTTTTTTACTTTATGTCTGCTCTTCTTACTTTTTAATTCTCCAGGTAGTTAGTGAAGATGGAAAGAAAATCAAACGCCACTATTCCCCAACAGACTCTGATATTCAAGAGCTACAAGTAATTACTTACTTCTAACTCATCACTCACTTTCATAACTTGCATGCTCTGTGTTCTTTTTGAAATATTTTATTCACTATGTATACTGGTTGCTTACCCTCTCTCTCTCTCTCTCTCTCTCTCTCTCTCATCTTACATTTTTTTTCCAGTCTCGCATTGTTATAGCTGAAAACCTACCTGAGGATCATTGCCATCAGAATCTTTTGAAGGTGTTTTCTTCTGTTGGAAGGTATTCTTGGCGCTTTTCGTGAAAATTCTTATCTTTACTTTTTAGTATGTTCGGGTAAGCGTCACGTGGTTTTGAAATGTAACACAGTATTTTCATATCTTAATATATCTACTTAATTTTGTAAAATAGAAGCTAAATCAAAGCTATTCACTGTGCATCTGAAGACACTTATCTTACATTTTATGTGTTAGTGTGAAGACTATCCGTACCTGTCCACCTCAAATCTCCAATAATGGGACTTCTTCTGCTTCAAGATTGGGAAAAATTGATGGCATACCTTTATATAACAAGGTATATATTTCTGCATGCATGAAATCATGCTCTATGTATTCCACTATAGACTTATCATCTGTTTTTTGTTTTTCCTTAACTTTTTCTGCGTGTACGTGTAGATTGGACTTTATCAATGTATACAGGAATTAAGTCCTGGTTATGAAATTTACATTTAATTGAGCTCTATGGGATGGTTTCCAAGCTTTACATGATATTTTTAGATGCTTTCCTTTGGACAGCTATTTAAGTGTGCTTGAGTTTTTTGTTTGAATCATTGAGAAGAGATTTTATTGTTGTCTCTGTTGTTATGTGTTTTAGATAAAAGAAGATTAGTAAAAAGGAATATGATAATTCTTACCTACTATTGATAATGATTTGATACTAACTTGATACAAAAGACTACACACTAAACCCTAGTTATAGGGATACTAGGAAACTCATAAAACAAATCATAATAATAACTACATAATATAGAAAGTAATAATTCTATGAGATAAACTAATAAAATTTAGCATAACAGCAAGCTATTTTTTAAACGATATTTTGTCATATTCTAACCTCAAGCTAAAACTTACTTAGTTTTAAGCTTGTACGGAATATCACACCGGCATTAACAAATAACTAGTTAATAGACGCTACTAATTGTTAATATTAAAACAGTAACTGCTAATAAAATTAGTAATCGACAGGATAGAAACTGTCACATTCAGTTTCGGTTCCTAGTAATTCTTAAGGTCTAATAGATTATTAGAGTTCCCTCATACTTAACGGGATCGGACAATTAAATAATAACGAAACTGATCACGATGGATGACACTACTCTGATACGATGTTGAAGTTATGAGTTTTAGATAAAAGAGGAAACATAATATGAAGTATAACTATGGTGAAATATGATTGATAATGATTTGATACTAACTTGATTATGGGGGATATGAGACTCATAATCCTAAATAGTAAAGATATTAGGAAACAAATCATAATGGGGAAACTGACCCTATGAGATAAACTAAGACATTCTAGTATAATATCAAAATATTTTCTAACACTGCCCATACTCCATAGAAGATATCGCCTTGGGGCTGTTAATGGTATTTCAGACCCGGTCCAAAGAGCTTGCCTACCAATAATATAATAGATTTTTGGCCATCTCATTGTAAATATATGCTCTCAATTCGTAGTTTCAATAATTCGTTTTCTGAGTTTTTAGGCTTGCTCTTATATCAACCGGTAGTCTTATGATAAAGCAGTATAGACATGTCCACCTGTGTTGCATCTTGCATTCTACCATTTTATGTTGTTAGCAATTTAATGGACATTAGTTTATACTGGTTAAGCATGCAAGTGGCCTCTCTTCTCTTTTTGAGTATCAATAAAGAGAAAGTAATGCAATTGATCTAATATAACTTTTTGTTCCAGTTGCATGCATTTGTTGAATATGAATCTGTCGAGCTGGCTGAGAGAGCGGTGAGTAACAACGCCTTTTCTAAGTTCGCAGGGAATCATTTCAGGTTACTTTTCATCTTAGTTGATATTTTCGGCCATATAGTGATAAGATTGAGAAATAATGGCAGGTCGCTGAACTAAACGATGAGAGAAATTGGCGGAGTGGCCTTCGGGTTCGTCTAATGCTTAGACACTCGGTATATCTCAATTATTTTCCTCCATTTTATTTAGCAAAGTATTTAACTGTTTCTCCAATGATCTTCTGTTATATAACCAGTTTGCTAATTTGGAGTTTGTGTCATTAAGCTCTCTACGGCCTTGTTAACAAATACATATTCTGTTGGTACAAAACAATACATATTATTTTTTGAAGGAAAAAGCTACTTGTCCCAAAAAGACCGCCCATGAGAATATATCATGATAGGAGAATGTAACTGCAACAAAGATCCCTTTTGTTTTTATCCATCCATGTTTTCTAATTCCTACAAATGCAAGATCCATCTATTGTTATTAAATCATGACATCTTCGCGATGTTTCTGTTTGCTACATATTTTTAAAATAACTTGAATGTAACAAGGACAAAAAAAACATCTCTAGTCTGGCTGACTGGTTTCATGTATCATAAAGGGTTTTATGACAAATGTTTTATTTCCAGTCAAAACCTAGTCAAGGACGGGGAGGGAAGGGACTTGATGTTGAAGTTAGCTGCGAGGGGGATTATGCTTCTGTGTCAGAGCCACAGGCAATTGAGAAAGAATTAGAGGATGCTTCCTTTCCTGATACTCTGGTGCATGAACATGTGGTGAGTAATTGTTTACTTTAGCTGACTGTTTATATGATACTATAAGAGTTTTGTTTTGGAACATGAAATAATTGTTTTAGCTGACTGGAATGCTTGATTCCATCAATGTTTACTGTTAGCAGGGAGAAGAGGCTAGTTATGAGAAAGAGAGCGGACAGAAGAAGGGGCGTAGTCGAGTGCGGGCTAAGGGACGTGGCCGAGTTCATTGTCATCAAAATAATCGTGTAAACCCTTCAAATAATTCATTTTTTACTGATCAAGGAGTTGCCAAGCAACCTCCGGGTCCCCGCATGCCAGATGGTACTAGAGGATTTTCAATGGGTAGAGGGAAGCCTGTAGCTGTTAATATAGCATGATTTTGTTTAATCAAATTCCTAAACAAGTTAGCGTTGGAACGGTGGTTGTGATAGTACTAGTACTATTAAGAGGGCTGTGGCAATTCTCAAAACAGATATTTTGTTTTTGTCGTGGTCTTTTCCTGTTTTTGTTTTCTTTTATTTGTTTGTTTATTTTTTAAGATTAACCAAATTCAAATTCCACACCTTTAATTTAGTTGAAGGATAATAAATAAATAAATTTAAAATATAATGTGATTGATTTAATATTAAAAAATATTTCCCTTTATTTTATATATTTATAATAAAATCCCTTCTTTTCTATGAAAGCATGGCAAATAAAATATTAATCAAACATTTATATCTAAAATCTTGATTTTATAGAGTTTCCATTACCACTTTCATACAAAAAAAAAATTAAACGAGAGTTAAAAATCAAGCTTATCAACAATAATGACTTTAAAGTGTTATATACAAAAATGTGCATGACGTTAAAATTTTATGATTGGAATATAACCATTCGTTATTGAGATAGCACACATAAATTTTACTTGCTACTAAGACAATCATAAAATGAATGTCCTATCATACAAATAAAACATAAAATTTTAATTTCACCACTTTGCCAACCATAAAGTTAAAATATTCTACAGGGATGCTACACATTTTATAAAGTATAGTGGCCCCCATTATGGACTCCGATTAAACTAATCCGAGTCACACCTCTCGTTACCATCACCATTTTAATACCCATTAAAACATAGACCTAATTGTTTCTAATCATGGTTGTTAGGAGAGCACAATCCCTCGTACCAGAGGATATTGAAGGTAGCAATATTCGAATGTCATGGCGAAAATGTGCGTTGCCAAAATCAAATCTTGGAGGACAATGTCCATAACATCCAACAACGCCAATAAGAGGCTACCCCCACAGAGCAGATGGAAGTGTTGGACCCTTAGTCTTAGACGAAATATGGGAAGCTCTTGTCCCCAAAAGGTTCAAGTCTCCGTCCTTGGCAAAGTTCGATAGGCGTAATGATCCTTGCCACCGTCAACACACAAATGACCATCATCGAAGCGCCCGACACCTTGAAGTGCACTTTTTTTGTCTGACACTTTCAGAGATGCGGCCTTGCGATGGTACATGGGCCTATCCCGAGCTTCCATCGCCAGCTATCAAGAGCTGGTGAAGAAACTCGTGCACTAGTTTATAGCCAGTCGACACATGAAGATGTTCACCACCAATCTGTTAAACATAGGACATGGTCTCTCGGAGTCACTGAAGAAATATCTTGCCCGTTTTAATGAAGTTACCATAAGAGTTATCTCTAAACCAAGATATGCCCGTGGGGAAATTCTGGAATAGTCTTAAAGTAGGTCACTCCAGCGAGTCTCTTGCCCAAAGGCCAACATCTTCATTAGAAGATGTGATCACTAGGGAGAAATGCTACATAAAGGGCAAAGATAACAACACCAAGAATAAGGCTCAAGACATAAAAGAACGTGTACATAGCGCTGAACGTCACAACACCCACGGGAGAATAACTATACCTCTTCCATCAAGGACAAAGAAAAATTCAAGCAAGTAGGAAAGGCAGTTGAGAGCTTCACACCCTGAACACTCGACATGAATAAATCTGGAGGGAGGTTCTCCACTTACATAATATCTCTGCACCTCCAGCACCAAAGGGAAACGTTATGGGACTTGAACCAGACAAATAGATCAAGTTTCACAAAGTTAAAGGACACCACACAAAAGACTACTATCATCTCAAGGAGATTGAGTGGCTAATCCAAAAGGGACACCTCTAAAAGTATGTCAAAGGAGATCCCTCCCAAGGGTTAAGAGGATCCAAATACCGAGGATGAGATAACTCAGGAAGCCATCTAAAGAAGAGAGCGACAAGGTCATACGCCATACGTTCAATACAATTGCAGGAAGATTTTCTAAGAGAGGGGAGACTAACTCCGCCCGCAAAAGGTATGTCTGCCAAGAATTCAATGTAGAGGATCTCTCCAAAGAGTTGAAGGAAGGTGAGACGAAGACACCAGAGATCGATGTCACATTTTTAGAGAAAGATGCAACATGCATCCACCCCCATAATGACAATCCCATGGTCATCATCGTTAGGTGCGATGATTGAGAAATCATAAGAGTTCTTGTGGACCAAAGGAGATATGCAAATATCCTTTAATATGTTGCATTTGATAGGCTCCGACTCGACTCACATGACCTAAAAGCTTTGAAGGGATACCTAGTTGGGTTCTCTAGGGAGCAAGTATAAATGAAAGACTACATAACACTGAGGACCGCCTTTGAAGTGGGAGAAAAAACCACAACGATCAAGGTCAAGTATATAGTTATAAACACCCCTTTTTTTATTAAGTGATTATAGAGCAACCAACTTTTAATCAGTTGGACGCCACCTTCTCTACTTTGTATATGTGCATGAAATACCCGCTCTTTTACAATTGAGTTGGAGTCATCCAAGGGAACCACAAAATCTCCAAGCTATGTTACGTGGAGAGTCTTAAGCTGAAAAGAGTTCAAACTCTGGGCGTGAATACTAGAAAGCTTGGTTCGAGAATCAAGTCGCCAGATGAAACTCACAGAGATGAAGAGACTCCTCTCAACAAAGTGAGAAGATATGAAACTGGAATTTCAGCTTGAATACCGTCTTGATATTTATTTGCTTTACCATTATTTGTTTACATTGCTATTATCTTTTATAGCGAGTATTATATCTTTGTCGCTTGGAAGAACAAGTTAATTTTTTGAAGATACACTCTTTTCCCTAGGGCTTCGTGAGATGGAAAGGGGTTTTTAACGTCTCCTCTTTATCTTCGGTATAAATTAGACCGCCCCTTGAGGCAATAAAAAAAAAATAGTTTAAAAAATAAATGTTATAATTAATGTTTAGTTATTAATGATAGTATAATTGAGGATGTAATAAAAAAGAGATAGATTAAGATAAGAACCGGAAAGAGGGAGTTAGAGCAGGGGAAGGAAAGGCAGTGCATGACTGGATCTGTCCAAGTCCATTGATTGAAGTGATCATCAAGCAGAAGGTATTATAAATGAATTAGTAAAATCGATGTTATTATACGATGATTAAGTTTGATTGATGGTGTGTTTTTAGGGTTAGTGTAAGAGAATATGGAAAAAGAAAAGAGTTATCGCGGATTTATGGAAAAACAGAAAAGTTTTCGCATGGTGATGGAGAGGCAGCTGAGCTTCATGGGAAGCGAGAGGAAGAAGAGCAAGGAATCACCTGGGAAACGTGGTGACTTACCCATTCATTTAGCTGCTCGGTCAGGGAACTTGACTAGAGTCAAAGAGATTCTTCAAAATTGCCATGACCCTGCTGCCGATTTGTTGTCAATCCAGAACCTCGAGGGAGAGACCCCTCTTTACTTGGCTTCAGAAAACGGACATCATATGGTCGTTGCCGAGATACTTAAATACTTGGACTTGCATACTGCTTCTATTCTCGCCAGAAATGGCTACGATCCCTTCCATGTTGCTGCTAAGCAGGGTCATCTCCAGGTACTCAGGGAGCTGCTTCACTCTTTTCCCAACTTGGCCATGACTACCGATTTGGCCAATTCAACTGCTTTACACACTGCTGCTACCCAAGGTCATATTCATGTCGTCAATCTCCTTTTGGAATCTGATTCAAATCTAGCTAAAATTGCCAGGAACAATGGTAAGACTGTCCTTCACTCTGCAGCCAGAATGGGCCATTTGCAGGTTGTCAAAGCCTTACTAACCAAGGATCCAACCACTGGATTTAGGACTGATAAGAAAGGTCAAACTGCACTACACATGGCTGTCAAAGGCCAAAATCAAGACATTTTGCTCGAATTACTCAAACCTGGCCCTGCACTTTTGAATCTAGAGGATAATAAAGGAAATACACCATTGCATATTGCCGCAAACAAGGGCCGTACTCAGGTCTCTGCTTTTTACTTATCTAATTATTATTCATTCTATATAATGCCCCACCACCTTAAGGTGATACCTCGTGTGTGCGTTCTCTCACTTCTTTCCTTTTCTAATCTAGACTCTTGAATTTGCATGGTTACTCATCTCCTGCCAGATCAATCATTTTTTGTTAGCCACATTATGTTTAGTTCTTACATTGTTTTACCTTTGCTTACATTCATTCATATTCTTTTGATGGTACACATTTAAATGATACTTGATTGTTAACATGAATAATAATCTTGTTTCAGTAAATGATGAATCCCAACCAATCTGTCTGAAGAACAACAGACCATGTCTTGCATCACCTTGATCTATGATTTTATATTTTATTTTTTTAGATCGTGGAGTGATAATTTTGATTCCGATATCTAATCTAAAGTGTTCATTATTAACTACAGAATGTCCGCTGCTTGTTATCAACAGAGGGTATTAACATCAATGCAATGAACAAGGCGGGAGAGACTCCTCTTGACATTGCAGAAAAATTTGCAAGTCCAGATCTTGTCTCCATAATGAGGGATGCTGGGGCTGTTAATTCCACTGACCAAGGGAAGCCTCCAAATGCAGCAAAACACCTTAAGCAGACTGTCAGCGATATAAAGCATGATGTGCAATCCCAGCTCCAACAGACACGCCAGACGGGCATGAGGGTCCAGAAAATTGCAAAGAAGCTGAAAAAACTACACATAAGTGGCCTGAACAATGCAATAAACTCTGCTACTATTGTTGCCGTTCTCATTGCTACAGTTGCTTTTGCAGCCATATTCACTGTCCCGGGTCAATATGTTGAAGAGAAAGTGCAGGGCCTGTCACTTGGACAAGCAAATATAGCAAACAGTCCAGCTTTCCTGATATTTTTTGTGTTTGATAGCCTGGCATTATTCATCTCTTTGGCTGTAGTGGTGGTTCAAACCTCAGTTGTTGTGATTGAGCAAAAGGCAAAGAAGCAGCTTGTTTTTGTGATTAACAAGCTCATGTGGCTGGCTTGCCTTTTCATTTCCATAGCGTTCATTTCACTCACTTACGTCGTAGT